GGAACGCTGTGGTGGTGGATCTTCAAGCTGCTGTCCCTCGGTTAGCTCAGCTTTAAACAGCACCCCGCCTTCCAGGAAACCCTCCATCCTCCGTTATTTAGTTAAAAAAAAAAATAAATCTGTCATAATCCACCATAACCCCTGGTAAATTGTTTTATGGAAGTGATCGTCCTTGCTGCTAAAAATTGGGGTGTCGCCTTTAATGTGGTCATGAGCATATTTTCAAGGGGTGAAGATCACTTCGGTAAAACTCGTTTTTTCTAGAGAGCACGGATTTTCGCCTTGTGGAAGCAAGTGCCTTGTATTTGGGCTTTTCCCTATAAAGGACGTTTTCCAGTCTTTCCGTTAATCCCATGGCTTATCCTTGAGCTATTCACATTTTATCAGCATCCTTCTTCAATTTTGACTGTACACAGTCTAAGATGTTTTTGTAGAGGGTGCACTGATACCAAATACAGGCAGAGTTTAACCTTTCTGGCTGATTATCGGTGAAAAAATAGATACATTCAAGGACTGCCTTAGCCCTTTTTGCTGTAACATTGTATTAACAGCTCACGACCAGGACATTATTGGGCATGATTGTAAAAGCCTCCCAAATTAAGAGTCCATTGTCATGCTGATGTGATAGTCATCATCAATTTAAATGTGAATTTCTTTGTAACAGATGTAATGTGCTTGCAAAAGAAGCAAGGCTCTTTGACCTGTAGTGTGCAAGGTGATAAATAACAGTCTCTTGTCCTCTTATGGGGCAGGAGGAGGGGAGAGATGCTGCCTAGTAACTTTAGGTGATGGTGCGTGTACTGGAGAAATGGTAGTACCTGAGTGAAATTACACTGTAGTTTAAAAAAAAAATAGCAAGTTTATATTGTATATACTGGAATCCATATTACTGATGAATGTGATTTATGAAATACTAATGTAAGCATCACTTCACTATGATACAAAGGTGCATCCTTTTGCCTACAGTATCTATCTTCATATCTATAAACTAATGTTGTCTCTTAAAGCATGCTACATTGAAAATCCAAGTTACAGTCAATTATAGTCAATATTGAAATGAAATGCAGTAAATTTGGAATAAACTGGCAAAAGAAAGCCAAACGTTTACTGGGTTTGTTAGCTTCTGTGTGGATGAAAATACAAAGGAGCAAAAGCAGATCTCTGCTTAGGCAAGGGTGCTCAGCTCCGTCATTGACAGGATCTGGAATTTGTCTCCAGAATAAAAGGGAGCTGGCATTTTCTTCCCAGCTCTGCTACCTTTTTGTTCTTCCTCAAGTATAATACCATACCCCCAGGCTATGGGAAGAGGAAAGTTTAGGCACCTAAGGGCGTTTCACTGCACTCTACAGCTTCTGTGCTTGTGTCTTTCTATAGGAGACAAACACATAGGGCTGTGGTTAGGCAAAGGTGGAGGATGATGCTCAACAGTCCGTTTATGTAATATTGTCTACATGAGACTCCCTCTGTGTTAGTAGCCAGTTTGCTTTTGCTCACATTTTCCTCCCAATCGCCCCCCCTCATGTTTAACGGCTTTCTCTTTTGGTTTTAGTGGGTAGGAGCTAAGCAGCATGAGTTGCAGGTAAACTCTATGCAGTTGCTGTACTATCAGGCACCAATGTCCTCGGCTATGTTGTTGTTCATCATACCCTTCTTTGAGCCAGTCTTTGGAGAAGGGGGAATATTTGGGCCCTGGACGCTTTCTGCTGTGGTAAGGCTTTTATTGACTTTATTTAAATAAATAATCATCATTGATGTAGCTAAATTTGATACTAAGATCTGTTTCTTTGTGAAACAGATTTTTGTACAGTCACTGACTATGATGAGATGAGGGGCATGTGCAAGAGAAAAAATAGTTGTTGTGTCTGCCCTACTTCCTCCCAGAGGAGTCCATCTGTCAATTGATTTACCTCCTTATTCTTGTTTCTGTTTAGAGGGCATCTGAACAACAGGAAAATCTGACAAAATCCAGAAGCTTCCCCTAGTGTATTAAATTAAAAATATGTAAGTGCCCTAGTTCCAGCTCTTACTGTCCACTCAGAAAAAAGATAAGCATGCTCACTTTTGACACTCTCAACTCCTCTTCTGTGGAAGGATGCCAACATTGGTTGTTCTCTAGAATTGCTAGTTTATTTTCACCAAGAAGGCTATAATTTCTCTCTATCCTTCTGTCCAAAAAAGAGCCAGTGGCATATTCTTACCACTGCTGATTGTGCCGCTCAGCGATGGGTCATTTTTTGTAAAGCTGCATTTTATGAATGGAATAGCAAGTATTTATAATAACAAAATCGCATATTTTTCCAAAATAGGGGTTTTTGTGTGACCATAAATAAGACTTTGTCTCAAAGGTAAAGAATACAACTTCTATGTGTATGAGTAGCCAGATTTTCCAAATCACTCTTAAATGTTCACTGAGAGCAAAGGAGAAAATGCTTGTGGTTATATCAGTATATATTTGTGGACATCATACCCTGAGCTACTTGTACACATCACCTGTGTCTGTACTGGTTTGAAGCTGTTTCTATTTTTGTTCTCCACATGTTTCTCTTGCCTGATATTTCGCATTTGAAAAAGTAAAGAAAACTAACTAAATAACCTAAATATATCTACAAATGGTCAAAAGCGTGTCAGATTACTGACTGTGTCCATTAATCTACAGATAATGGTATTGCTATCTGGAATAATAGCCTTTATGGTAAACTTGTCCATTTACTGGATCATTGGAAATACGTCACCTGTCACGTATCCTTTGTAACATTAGTTTTTTTGTCCTATTTCCAGATGAATTATGTTAGCATTCATTTGGGCAGATTTACTGTGGGGAAAATTGTTTGTTAACCTGCCTGCTTTATCTTAAATGATGAAGCTGGAAAAGCACATTGATGTTTTAGTGTATTGCGTTTCTTTGTTTGGGTTTGTATAGATAATGGCAGTTAACCTACTGACGTGATCTTCATACCTACAAAGAATATTTACCCACACTTTGGCTACCACCTTGAGGAAGTGTTGGCCTGTCAGTTCATTTGTAGTGTGCGATGGGCAAAAGGCTTTACGCAGAGGTTCATTTGCGTAGCTGCAGAGATGCGGGAAAGTTGCATGAGTTGAAGTCAATGTGCCATACCGTTGCATGCTTTGGCTGTAAATAAAGTTCCAAAGTGTTTCTTTTTACAAAAAATAATTCTGATATTTTCTGTTATCCTTAACAGATGTCTAGGTATAACATGTTTGGACATTTCAAGTTCTGCATCACCCTCCTGGGAGGATGCCTCTTATTTAAGGATCCACTGTCTGTTAATCAAGGCCTTGGGATTCTGTGCACATTGTTTGGCATTTTAGCTTACACCCATTTCAAGCTTAGCGAGCAGGAAAGCAGTAAGAGTAAATTGGTTCAGCGTCCATAGAGCAAGGGTTTCTGGAAATTAATAATACTGTGAAGGAAAACAAGTATTTAAATATGCGTTGATTCCAGAATGCACAAAATTGCCTCGTTCATTTAGATCTATGGTTTTCGTTTAACTTCCGGGATCATTATTCCGTAACTAAACCAAACAAACTGAATTATGTTAAATGCTGGGGTTTTGCCATCTCAGTACATTCTGTCATTTTCATTAAGTTTAAATGGTAACTTAAAAGAGAAGAAGGCACACGTCAAATTGCTGTGGAAATTGTAGTGAAGTAATTATATTTTTTGCATACAAATGAGATCATGATGGTTACAGTTATGATCCAGAGAAAGAGCAAGAAAAGGAATCATGTCTTTGTGATCAGGCCAGTATTACTGTTGTGAAGAAACTTGGAGGCACTTTTATGCAGATGTTCTGGTATGTAGTGCTGCGTCTTCCTTTTTGTCTGGTGAGGGATGAAGAGGAAATATACTTTGTTTAGTAGTTTTATAAAGGGTCACGAAGCTCGTTCCTATTTCTTGTAGGCTTTCATATATATGTTTGGCTTCAACACATTGATAAATTTTGGCTGAAGAAAGTAGATAAAACTACAGGTGGAGAGAGACTAGAGGAGACATTGGAAAACTTGAATCCACAGGCCAAGCTATAGGAAAGTAGGAAATCAGATCTAAACAGTTCATCAGGACATTAATGAAGTAATTCATGTTTTAGAAAATTCTGTTACTGCTTTATAATTTTCTCTGTGCCAAAGCCAAAGTTTTACATGAGATATTGTAAATACTCGTGAGCCTAATAAAATCTCTGATTTTGTGGCAATAGCCAAATATTTTGCAGCCTGTGCACGCAGACACCCATACTAAAAATACTCTCGGAGAAATCTTCGGAAAGGTCACCACCTGTAATGGATGTGGAGGTTGCCTGGTTCTCTCTCCTGCCTCCAACCCCACCTCACTCTCTCCCACACCTCTTCCACTCCTTTCCTGAGTTACATTCAGTGTGATGTGCAGATTTGTCATTGTTTCGGAGGGAAAGCCCGGGGACTGTCTGGGCAGTGCTGGGTAGGCAGCATTTCCTCAGCAGCCAGTCCCTGGAAACTTATCAAAGTGACTGAAGAGTGTGAGGTGGGACCTGCTTCTGTTCTAATTCGGGAACGCTTTGAACATTATTTTTATGGCAGTATCAAGTGCTGATTTTGACAACGTGGAAGGAAGGAGAAGTCAAGTACTGCTCTATTTAAAAAAAAGAAAAAAATAACTGCTTTCAGAAAATCTGGTGGGAACATACGTTCGCTAGATTTGCAGGGTTACAATTTATTTGCAGTATCTTAATACTTACATTTTGGGGTTTGTTTTATCTTCACCTACCTCTAGCAGATTTAAAGAGGGGAATTACGTGAACAAAACCAGGTATTTAAGTTTTACAACCACCAACAGAAGTGATACTTAGTTCCTCTAAGTTCTTTTTACAGTAGAGGTAACAAGTCTTTGTGTAAGAAACAATGCAGATCTCTCAAGCTTGTAAATTATTTATTATGTTACAGAGTTCTTGGTTTAAGAAAAAGTTATTTCTCTGTGTAGCCTAAGTTTACACCATAATGCTCTATATTATTTCAGAGTTAGAGATACCTGAATAATTTTACATCTTTACCAACTGTGTCTTAGACATTGTACTGGTCCAAGGATAATTTTTTGTATGTTTTTATAAGTCTATAATTAGTTTAAAAATACAGCCTGGACTACTGAAAGATGTGTTCAGACAGGACAATCTCTGGATGCATATTCTTCAGTATCTACACTGAGAAAGCCATTTGCATTAATTTGTGCTGTGCACAAGTTCTTCTAAAATGTAGATAAGACTGCAAAGACTCTTAAAGTTAGAAAACAACAACTGAATTAGACGCCTGTATGACAACAATGTTTGGGATGAGACTGATATAAAGTGGTAGAATGAACAAAACAACCATGTCTGAAAATACAAAAGACTCCTTACAGAGAGAAGCAGATCTGCCAGAGAAATTTAACAGTATCGTTAAAACAATACATTATAAATACAGTCTGTTGCTGGAATGTATAAGTCGTGGAGGTCACTTAAGTGACATGATTTTTTTCATATGTTTGAGACCTCTCCTTTGAGATTTACCTGTTGTATCTAACAAATAAAGTATCTTGAACTTTGTATATGGCTCAAAAATTCCAGGAGGCTTGTGTAATCGTGAGATAAATAGATATTTGTATGTATTGTTTCTTTGGATACCATGTTGTGGGGTGGGAATAAATTTTTAGTCACTTGACTGATACCTGCTTATTGCAGGGGAGAACAGTTGTTCTTGTCTTCTTTTCGTCTTCTGATAAATTGCATACATTTTAGGGGCCTACGTGTGTATAAGACAAAATGGTGCCACTTGGATTTCTGTCTATATAAATATTTCAGTGCGTTTGCATGTTTTGGGGCTGAACTCGTGACACAAATGAGGAAGGCTGCTTGCCTCCTCTCCCCTGGGCAAATACAGGGACCCACATGTATCTATGCAGATGCTTGCCCACTGACAAGCTGCCTGTTGGCTTTTCTTCACCGTTTCTTTCCCCCATGCAAGTCCTTCCTGAATGTTCCAGTCTCTGCACATTCTCCATTTCTCTCTGTTCTGCACAAAGGTCCCCAGTGCTGAGGTTCCTTGGTCTCACCTTTCCCTATGCTAAAACTGTGCATGCTTCCCTTGCCCCTTAGCAAAGACCTGATGCTCATAGTGGTATGAAGTTAACTTATGATGCCAGAGTAGGGTAACTGGCACCAGCCAACTTCTTCCTTCACAGGCAAATGTTGAGTTACATGTTGGGGAACTGAATCTTTCTTCAGGAGATCATAAAACAACAAAGAGAAGGAAAGGGTAAGAGAGACTTCCAGTTTAGATGGTTTTACTACAAGCACTGTGATAATGTACTTGCCCAAACTCTTAAATCCTGAGGTAAAAGTGGAGTCTTATAAAAGTTACTGATACCTACCTGGTGGGAAACTTGTTTATCCCAGTTTTTACTACATCACTTTAATATGTTTTCCTGCTAATTAGATGTATTTCATTCAGTTTTGGCTTTCCTGAAAGAGAAATCAGAGACTTGGCGTCTTTAACAATACGTAGTCATCACCCTGTATGTTCCATTGCAATTGGAGCTGTACTGTACAAACCCCGGTGTTTACTTTCTGCTTTTCATTTTACTTCATACTCTACATATGACTAAACTGTGGAAACAAGATGGACCTCGGTTCTTTTCTGTCATCAAGTGCTTTGCTGCTTATATTAGCATTCTTTATTTTAAAAAGCTACCATTAATGTAGTTAGTGTAGATTTAAAGTAATGGCATTTAAAAATTAGAGCAGATCCAGAGGATTCTGATTAAAATATGAGTGGTAAGTTATCTGTGCTAACCTTGTCCCTGAAAACACTTCAGAACAACATACACGAGGTTTTCTCACCTTCCACAAAGGAATAGGGAGTATGCCTTCACTTAGAGATACTCGGTTCAAAACTTTAACTTTGGTCCAAACTCGGCACTTTTTTGCCAGATTTTGCATCTGATTTTGTACAACTTGCTAAGTTCTTGCAGGCTCTGGGGGCACTGTGCCAGAGGATTTTGCCTGCTGATGGGTGAACAGCTACTTTGTTGGGCTTGAGGTTGAAGGAGAGTGATTTGCTGCTGTTGCATGTATGAAAAGGAGGTTTGTCTTGCAGGAAGTCTACTTTCAAGACAGAGCTGCAATTCAGCAGGCATGTATTCTCTCTCTGTCTCATTTCATGAAATGAATGCCCAGTGATGGCTTGGGGCTAAAGCAACATTAAAGCCTTGTTTGGGCTACCTGTAGTCTTTATTAAACTTTTTTTAAAATATTAGTGGTAGTGGTTAAGTATTAAGGTAAAAATCTCATTTTTATTATGTCTTGTATTATAGGAGCTTCAGAAGAGTGTTTTATAACATTTTAGAGTATGGCTAATGTCTAACCCATGTCCAGTTTGTCACATTTTCTGCAACATCTATCAAAAGGTAATGATGGATTTCATAACTGCCTGTATATATTTATACAGTTGGGCTGCTGAGAGGAGGCTGGCACTTGAGCAATACTGTGCTACTAAATACGGACATACTGTTAATGTATTTAGCAATGATTTAGAAACCTCGAGCCTGAAATTCACCAATGTGCTTAGCAGGGGAGAAAGAAGACTGACTTTGATAAGTGAGAGATCTTTTTATCTTCTTGCTTCCAACAACAAACCCGAGGTTTGCAGTTTAACTCTAACCCAGCCAAAACCACGACAGTATCCACCCCTTATTCTATACCATCTATGTCACGCCCAGGTCCTACACTTTCCAATACGTTCCAGTTAATCACTGCCACTTTTCCTGTCTTTTGATAGATACGCACAGATGTCATTCCCTTAGTTTATGGGCCATCCCTTTAAAAAGTTCATCGAGTTCATTTAGTCATGACTTGGGGCTCCATCTGTCATAACAGTCTCTCGGGGCAGGAGAGGGGGAGGTGGTGTGTGGTGTGGGATCGTTGTATGCTGAAGCCAGTTCTGATTCTATCACCTCTGCTCTTTGTTCAGTTTCATTAAAGTTTATCCTTCATTAATCTGGATGGTTTTTACAACAATACTGTTAATATGGCATATAGCAAGCACAGTGGTGATGACATTATTATAGGTATTATAGGGAAACTAACATCATATAATTCAAATCATTGGCTGTTCTCCCCCAAAATCAAATCCCCTTGAGGTACACATCGGGCTTCCCCATCCTCCCTCATCACCCACCATGTGCACCCAGGTCCTCGAGCAAAAGCAATCCCATGAATGAGTTTGCCTTTTCCCAAGGTAGGAGTAACCCAGACTGTCTTCCCCAGCATATTTTTTACATGCACCACAGGGACTTTATCCCCTTGTACAGTACGTAAGAGTTTTGATTGGGCAGGGCCAGCTCGATTGATGTTTCACAGCCCTGCTACTACCTGGTTTGGGCCGAGGCTGGCAGGCACGCTCCAGCAGTGCTGACTAAGCAGGTGGCTTTTGCTAAATGTGTATCCCAATGTTTGAATGGCCCAGCACCTATTGTTCTTGGTGTGGTCTTTAACAGTCCATTGTACTCCCCCAAAATCAAATCCCCTTGAGGTACACATCGGGCTTCCCCATCCTCCCTCATCACCCACCATGTGCACCCAGGTCCTCGAGCAAA